AAGACTATGTTGAGGTCATTTTACAGTTCTACAACATAAACTATCAGAATTTTATTTACATTTCATAAAAGCAGGCAAAAGTATTCTCAAACATGTTTATTCTCAAACATGTTTATCTCTTTTCATACTCATAATTTTCTGAACTTAGTAGCAGAAATGCATTACTTAATTTATTATTGCAATTCTATGTTATCAGAATGACCACTAGCTCAGTCACTTTGACATTAGAAACATAAAATGAGAATCATATTTTAAAAAATACTGGTTCCCTGATACAGTGACAGTATGAACAATACTGATGGCTAGTTTGCAGATAAATCAGATTGTCAATGAGTTAACTCAATAACATAAAGTACAATAGCTAACGTAGTAATAATGTATATTACTGTATGTATCCTAAGGCTATTAAATACAATTAAACCAGCTTCAGCTATTAGGTTAGCTGAGTTCTTCAGGACTGATCACAATTATACGCTTTTGCTAAATTCATAAAGAAAATATATTTGTCTATTAGCTATCTCGTAAAATTGCTATGTAAGATGACTAAATATCGGTGCCTTCATCTAAGTGGTGTGTATTTGTACAATGAGCTCAGGCACATTAACCACATGAGGGTGACTAATTCAAAGATGAACAACAGAGCCCTTGTGTGCCCAGCACAGCTGGCACCGCCTGTATTATCTTAATCAAACTCTGAAGACAATCAGTTCAGGAAGGAACCTGAGAAAGTTCAGGTATCATTTCACAAGGATATGAGGGTTAACTTAAGCTTAACACAAAACCTACCAATTTCATATATTAACTGAGGTGAAAAATATTCCATAAGAAGAACAAGTTCACATTACGTCTTCTATAGCTGACCAAGTCTCAAGAAGTGCAGTAAGAGAGGCTGACACATGAATGAAAAGTGACAAAAAGACCAAGAATAGGAGGCAACAGGCCAATTGCCATTTTCCAGAAATGGGTGAATGTCCCAGAGAAAGGTAGAGTGAAACAGTTACACCTTTGATTCTTTAAAGACTGGGAAAAGGCAGTAGGGTAATTAGTGCACTTGCCGTAACATTGATCTCCTTCCAGAACCAGGCACATCCCCACTAAAACAAGGAACATGTTCATAGAGCTTTGAATAGCCAGAATAACAACAGGAACAGCTAGCTTATCTTTTAATTTTTAAGATTACAAATCTTGGGATGATACTTTTTTGTACTCCTAAATTTACCTCTGAGCCTTGATGGTAAGTAACAGATCACAGCTGCTGAAGAGATTATGATCAAAGAGAAGCAGTCCCAGTGCAAACATCTATACAAGCTTCTGCAGGTTGAGTATGAAAAAAATAGAGTTTGATTTAAGGATGGCACACAGATGGGCACCCACCTTGCCTTTCCTCAGTGAGACACCCACCCGCTTCCACCTGAGAGAGAATTTCAGGGTTCAGGGTGTCCTCCTGGGTTTGCATTATTTCTGTGATGTCCATGTGAATTAGCATTATATTCAATTTTTTTCACTGGTTTATTGGTTATTTTTTGGCTGTTGATCAACTATGATATTATATGTCTCTGCACCAAATGAAAACATTTTACTTGATATTTGCAGCCTATCTTAATGGTTCATTTTTGCAAGCACGTAACGGGTAACTTGCATCTCCCTCTGCATGGCACAGCTCTTTCAGAACGTAGTATTCAAGGTGCTTTTTTCAATCAAGACAGTGACTGTGTTCTTTATCTGCTAGTCTGTTCTGTCTTCATCGTTATTCTAGCAGCAGGAACTAATCTGTGCAGAGGAATATGGATCTGAGGGAACAACAAACAAACAGACTGTTTGTAGTAGCTCTAAGGCTTCCATAATGGACACCCACGCTTACCTAACGGATTTGCAAACATTAAAAGCATCTTTACTCTGCACAGTATCAGTGAAACTTTTGTCAGCAAAATACATTTTACTGACGCTTTTATAACTTATAAATACATTTTGACACAGACAAATACAAGTTATATTTCGGAAACACCCCCATACTCTGAGATGGCAAAGCTGCCAACAAGTTTAGGCTCTAAGAGAAGCACTGCATCACCACCAGATGAAGGAGACTTTGAGCTGCATTTGTGTAGGCACACATATTGAAAAGTGGTCACGGCGGCTACAGGGAGATGTCATTATGTGTTAATCTTCTGAAGTCCTGCAGTCTTTCGCTTTTCCAAAACTTTCTGAGACCTCTTCAAAGCTTGCAAGATACAGAGCTAAGCAATATGAGATACCAGCAGTTACACTGAAGCAAGCTAAAATATGGATTAAGCAGCAAGAGATCACTGACATTAAGTTGGTTCATTATACTTTGATTGGATATCTTATTTGTAACTATTCCTACAGTAACATTTGCTACCCTACACGGTGGGTACATGCACAGCTCCTGTAATGCCATTATATTTACAGCAGCATAGGAACCATGCAAGACTGACAGTATGCAGAGTAGACTTTCACTTCCAAACCCTCAGGTTTGAGAATCTCTTTGATCCAACTCCATAATTGACATGGGGAATACCTTCAGGGGCAAAAAGGAGGGAGGCAAGCCCCACAAAACACAGCCCAGCCTTTACCTTTCCTTTGGCTTGCAGCCCCCACCTCCTCTTCCTTCCAAGACCATGCATGTTATGCTGAAGTTCTTCTAACCCATGTGGAATGGTGAAGACACCATCTACTTTCTCATGACAAAAACATTTTTAAAAATTTCATTCAGCTTATTCACCACGTGCACAGAAAGCAGGCATGCCCATATCTTCAACAGCTCCTTTTCCAAGTAAAATATAATGAATGCTTCTATGTCATCCCCTCCAGAAATAATTTAGATAAAGGAATAAATTAACACATATTCCCTATGGGTAGCTAGAAGAGCTTGGTAGAAAGACACGCTGAAACTAAGCTCCTCTGAAGACACTGCTGGAGACAAAATGTTTAAAAAGTTTTTCTTCCCTTGATCCAAGCCTAAAGCAAACAGTATTTCTGGCACTTACTGCTCCCTTGGCTGCAGACACCTGGAATTTTGAGTCTTTCTGGTATGGAGTCAGTGCCTGATATCACCTCCCAAAATGGACACTAATATTCATGATGTTGAAGGAATATTATTCCTCTGGGTCCAGCAAGGTTAGGGTTTGGTGATGTTTTGAAGCATGAAAATTGATATCTCAGATATGGTCATAGATACACAAGTGTGAAAGTTGTTATTAACTATATAAATGCCTATTTTTTAAAAACCTTTTAAATAGCAGGTGCTGTAGCCAAAGTTTGTGATCTGTGGGCAACTGCAGCCATTTATTAGTTTCAACTCCCCTGGCCTTTGTTTTTCTTTACCAAGGTACACTCTAAGATCAAAATAGGAGCTACTAAAGCTTTCTCATACGTTGCTCATTATTTCACATCCCCCTCGACATGTTCACTTTTATCTGTAAACTAAGAGAGCTCCTCCTATTTCAGAATATTCCCAAATGAAAACATTTCAATTACTTTATTGCTTTTTTTCTAAATCCTTTGAATTTCTATCATATCTCTTTTGCTCACTTTGTGTCAGAATCAGAAATTATGACAGATAAAAGTATTCCAATAATTCATGAAACAACATGCCTCTACTAGAACTACCTGCTTTAATTTTTCATGCTTTTGCCCAGAAGTGCACACTGAGCAAGCTGCAGCACGTCTAAATTCCCTCCTGACTAGCTGTGGTTAAGTGGAAAATGAAAACTGTGTTGAATAATTTTTCATTACTTCTTAAGGTGGACTAACCATATTCTTCTAAGCAGATTTTATACTGTTTCAGGTTATATAATCATCTAGCTTTATTAGATAATAAATAATGAGTTCTGCAAATGGTGCATCTGTGCTCTCCAGACATCTTTTCTAAATAGTTACATCCTAGACAAAGCCTTTTGACATCCTCCCATTAATGTTGTCTTATTCTAAAAGGAAAGCATTTGGAAGCTCTTTCCCACTTTGCATCTTTTTACCAGAATACTTGCCATTTGAAAAAGCTGTATAGGCACATCCCAAAACAACTAAAAATATAGCTTTTGCATTCAGGGATCCTCCTATCTGGTAGTATTTAATTTGCCGTTATTAGCATCTATTTACACTCTTTCGAAGACCTTCTGTCCCCTTCCCAGGGGTCTATAAAGCTTCAGATCCTCAGAATCTTTCACCTAAGACATTGTGCTGGCATATGAAAAGCCATGAGTCATATTTCTAGTCAATATGGCTAGGAAACTAGAAGTCTCACTTCTTGATATTTATCTCTACTGCAAACACATGTAAACCAGATTTTGAACATAAGTATGAATTTCTTCAGCCTTTTTACTAGTCTTCACTCAATAGGGAATTTTCTAGTCTGCCAGCGAAATGAACATTAAGAGCACTCACACATGAATAAAAACAGCAAAAATATAGAAAATGACACATTCCTAACACCCTAGAAGAAATGTTATTTTAAACAATGATTGCACATGAAAGTGCATCTACCCACTACAGAAACAAAGGTCAAAAAAATCACATTTATTTTAATTGTTAATTAGTCTGCAATTATCTGAAGATTATTTCTTTCCCACTCAAGAAAACAAAAGGCAAGGAAGACATCTTCTTGAAGAGTTTATAGCTGTTATACATGACAAATCTACAAGTAGATGAATAACAACAAACACTTTCGCAAATTACTTTTAAAATATTCCTATATCCACTATAAAATTGCAGCAGATGTGATATAACAACGGAGATCTCAAGTGTGAAGTTTGCTGCTTAACCACATTACCTAGTCCAAGAAACTCCAAAGGATTATTCAGAGCATTTAAGCAAAGAGTACAATTTTTTCTGTTGATGGAAGTTAGGATTTTAACTTTAGGCATCTAGTTAGTTCCTTGTACTAGACTTCGTGAATAATTGTCTATTACTCACACTAGGTTGTAAAACTCAGTTAACTGAAAACAATCTTCAAGAAGATTGGATGAATGATCATGACATCTCACCTGTATTTTGTGCAGGTAGAGTTTTGATGTGAAGGATCTGGTGGATTAAGTGTGATTCTTGGCGAGACCTGAGCTGATAGCAAAAATCCCGAAGCTAGGATAATGAGTGCTACAGCAGTACCTAAAAATACAAAGAACAATGTGATACTTTTCTCCAGAGCACATGAAATAATTTGCTATTGAATTGAACTATGCTTGGGAAAGCAAGGCACACAGCATTTTCTGAGGAGTTGTGATGACAACCTAAGAAAAATACCCTTTGCTACATCCACTTCTTGAATTAGATTAGATGCTAAAGTCAAGTGCATAGGGTTTAATGTCCAGACATTAAATTAATAGGGTGAGACTTTTTTTTTAATATGCAGAGTTGAAGACTGCATGAATGAATGGATATATTCTTTTTGGTGTTAAAAATAATGCTGTAGAGGTAAAATTCAATAGTGACTTTGAAACCACAACACTTCTTCCCACTCCCACAGGGGAGTGGGTTTATACATCCCACAGGGACTTGCAGGTTTTTGTGTAAAACAGAAAATAGCATCAGCTTTTTCATTGGCTACTTCTCTTTGTGAAATGAGAGAAATTTGACTTTTCACAAATACAGCACAAAAAAGTCCAACTGCAATTTCTGATTTTGTTTCAAAGAGCACACATAACATCTGCTAGGAAAAAGCCCCCTTCCATCTATTTTCTCCTGTCCCTCCCCCCAACAAATTCTTTGTGTACAAGCTGGGCAAAATGACAAGCCGGAAGATGGCAAAAAAGGTTTACACTTTGTGCAACAGGCCATTAATAGAACATAACCCATAGTTTTTCTACCTTATTTGTCACACACACACACCATATGCTGTATTATTTTAATGACAATTGATACACTTCACCACTTACGATAGTATTCCAACTATCCCAAAGTCAGACATATAAAACCTTTGCCTCTTGCTACTCTACAAGGCATTGAGTTCTGTTGTATAAAATACCCTGTATAGCTATTTGTATACTCACTATTTATGTCATATGCTTTCTTTGAGAGGTCACATATAACATGTATAACCTGATCTAAAAATACAAAACCAGTAACTACTAAGTTACTGGTTCAGGTAACTTAGGGTGGTCAGGCACTGGAATGTCCTGCCCAGGGAGGTGGTGGAGTCACCATCCCTGGAGGTATTGAAGTTATTCGTTAGGATAGGAGCACCTCTGCTATGAGGACAGGCTGAGAGTGGGGCTTGTCCAGCCTGGAGAAGAGAAGGTTCCAAGGAGACCTTACGGCAGCTTTCCAGTACCTGAAGGAGGCCTACAGCAGAGTTGGGGAAGGACTCTTTATCAGGAAGTGCAGTGATAGGACGAGGACTAACAGTTTTAAAATGAAAGAGGGTAGATTTAGATTAGGTATCAGGAAGACATTCTTTACTGTGAGGGTGGTGAGGCACTGGCACAGGTTGCCCAGAGAAGCTGTGGATGCCCATCCCTGGAGGTGTTCAAGACCAGGCTGGATGGGGCTTTGGTAACCTGGTCTGGTGGGAGGTGTCCCTGCCCATGGCAGAGGGGTCGGAACTTGATGATCTTTAAGATCCCTTCCAATCCCAACCATTCTATAATTCTGTGATTGTGAGCTCATTACTAGTGATCTAATAACATTATCTTTACTGTACAAAAAGAGACTCACAAACCACTGAAGCACATCCCGCTTGGACAGCAGTGTACATTTAGAAGTGTGCAGTGATGACCAGCTTAATGGTTGAGGGCAAGTGAAAGATACTGGAATTCAATTCCAAATACTCCTCATCATCCCTTTGCTCTGTATATTAGAAGCATGTAAGTAATTTTCTCAGAAATGCTTCCGTGCAAGCCTTTAGAAATGCCACCACATTAAGAACCTTAACATGTCACTCTGGTAATCTTTAAGAAATTACACATTATCTGTTTTTCATTTTGGGGTTCGGTGGGGTTTTTTTTGGTGGGTGGAGGGCAGAGAAGATGTTATGGCAGTTTCGGGGGTGGGTTGGATAGTGTTTTTAAAGAGAAAAGCAAGAGCTCCCTAGTAGGCAAACCCATCAAGTATGTAAAAAACTTTTTCTGAGATATAAATAATATCTTAAGTACCAAGATCTGTGTAATAAAATTATGCCTGAATGTGTCTGTGCAGCAGCCATGGCTAATAGGCCTGAATATGCATGAAGTGGAGATGATTGGACCATGCATTTACCTGAACCGTAGCAACTAAGACCTTAAACTCCATCATAAACTGTATGCAGAGAAAGCACCTACCCACCATAAAATGTGATTTCAGTGTATTCTACACTTGGCTTTGTACTGCTATGGCTAGTAGGTATGCTAATAATCCCAGTTTTGGGGGCAGGCTGGATATTGCACTAGATTTACTGTACTTTCAAAATGCCATAAACCAGACAGCAAATATCTTTAGACAGGGCCTATAATCTTATTTATATTCATTCTAAATATGCTTTGTCTGTCTTTTAAGCTAACCAAACACACTACCACTCACTTCCAGTACCTCTGCAAATGTCTTATTTCTTTGGAAAAGCACTGAATATGTAAACTCAGAAAATTAAGTTTATTGTACATTTTCTTTCTGTGGGAAGTTTGTCTATGATGAACAAAACCATACGACGACAGTACGTCATTAGCTAAGATTGAAAAGAAGAAAAATAAAATATCCTGAAGATACTTTAGATTACAAAAAGAGATACAAACTGTCCACTGCCCAAGTAGCACCATGCTTTCAAATTGACAATTTCTGAAGGGAAAAAAGGAAAATACAAATAAAATGGATACTGCACTTGTCAAAATTCCTGTGTGTTTCCCAATTAACAGTTTTGAACAAAGACATTAAGTGAGGAACAAAAGAAAGATAAAGAAATAATGCCAAGATATAAAATAAATGGGAGACTAAGGGGAATCAGTAACTGTAGTAAAGAAAACTAAAAATGGGGGGGAGGGTTGGCAGAAGCAGTTTACTGTAATTTTTCTAATGCTTCTGGATCTATTTGAAAGGCTCAATTTTTCAAGAGTTGCTAATATTTTGAAAATGATAAATATACATTAAATTGAATTTAAAATAGCTGTTTTCCAAGTATTTTCAGAAAGCAGGAAAAGCTTCATAAGTTTACAAAATTAAATTACATTATGTTGGTATTACTGAAAATATTAATGTTACTATTTCTCTACTGATTATTCTTGTAGGTTATGATCTAATAACGATCAAATCAATTAACCATTACCAAAAAAAACCCCACATCCTTGCAGCAGCAGGCAAGGGTAGTTGTTCTGTCTTAATTTTATGTAATGGGAGACTGGGGGATACCTGGCTTCTCCAAAGACCAGAGAAGCCACCAGTAACGACTCATTGTGAAAGTCAATGTCCTTAGAAATGCAAATCAAAGTAAAACACTAAAATACAAGTTTACCCCATGAGAAAATTCATCATGGAAAACAAATCCATCAGCAGATTTAGTAATTATCATCTTACTACACAGACCGCTTGCTAAGGAAAACACATCACAACCACCAGTACCTAAATCAGTGACAAACATTACAATAAAAAATACTACAGAGAGCTGACGTGATTTCATTACTGCCATAATCTGTATTTTCCCTAAGGAGGGGCCATATGATGAAGGACAGAGCAAGCAATGCAGCACGGATCAAGTGATGCTGCGAACTGGCAACTGACCACAGAAAGACCAAGAATATTTTTACTGAACAATTACTTTGTGTCCAAACATCATAAGCAAATAACTCTTAACTGTATTATTCTCCTTCATTAATTTCGTGATTTATTTCTATATTCTTCTCTGTTCTATGACTAATATGCTTTGTAAGAGACATTTATATCTACATTTCAAATGTATGACCTTTGAATATGTTAACCAGAGCAAAAAAGCTAAGAGTTCTGTGACTGTATGGAAAGTCTACACGGGAATCACACCCATACAGCTGGGTCTGGGTAAGCAATAAACTCCCGAGGGACTGGCCAGACGTATGAGGTATCGGGGCCAAATATAAAAATACTCCATTCCAATAGAATATAAAGGACAGGGAGCATCCAAGAACCAGAAGTACCAGTGCAGTGCCAGGAGAGATCCACTTCGCAGAAAGACAAGAAAGCAGGCAAGGGTCACAGGGTGAGAAAAGGGGTATTGAGCATAGGGAATGGTACAGAACTGGGTCTTTCCTCTCTGAAAGATTTGGCACTGGCTGAAGACATCGAAGAATTTATAGGGGAGATGTATTTTAACTGACTGTGAGAACAATTTGAGATTTTTGTTCATTTTTTTGAAGATGTGAGGAATGTGCTTATCCAATCTCCTGTCATGACCCCATTTCTGAACTCGGATTGTGAAAAACACATCAAGTTCCTCGACCTCAAATCAGAATGGTGACACACCAAGTACAGATTTATTGTAACTTGGAAATACCAAATTGTCTCCAAACTGCATGTTTTCATTTACAAATTTGGGCAACCGTGTATCAAACCAGACACGAGGCTGTGCCACCGCTGCTCTGCCTATAGAAATGCATTCAGACACTGTGAGTGCAGATTATCTCCCGTCGCTTGGGAACTGCAGATGGCCAGCGACTTGGCAGGTGGTCCCCACTCTGCTGTGTTGCATTAACTACAAGTTTGGAACCCTGACAGCGACAACAGAACAAAATATGGAGACATAAAACCCTCCCAGCTAAACACTTATGAACATTATTTAAAGAGGAGAGGGAACTGTTTCTCTCTTCCAGACCCTGTTCTTGGAAACATCTGAACCTTTCGGATGTTCAGCCAGAGGCAGGTACCGGTCACAGATCACTTCAGCCATAACGAGCACAAAACATGGGAGCTCTAACGTGGGAGACTAATTAGTGTAGGTAAGGTATTTACTGCATTGTGTTTCAGATAACTATGCAAATAACTGTATTACTTTTTTTAAAAGTGCTGCAATGGCTATGCGGTACACATAGTTCTTGGTAATATGTTCTGAATTTCCATTACTAAGCCAGAAATTAAATATCACATATACATACATGAAATTTAAAAACTAATCAGTTGTGAACTTCCAAGCATTTGATTTCTTATCCTGAAAAAAAAAAGCATTACAAAAGCTAAATAAAAACATTGTCAAACACAGCTTGAATGAAAAAATGCACCTGAAAAAAATAACATGCTAAACTCCTCTTCAACTGTGGTACTATACTACTCGTTTTGAAAAGCTGTATGATTTCACAGAGAAGATGAGGTCAACATTGTTATTTTAAAGAGGACTACTTTGAAAAAAATTAGCACTTGAATTTTTATTTTCATTTTATTAATAATTGGGAGGAAAATACAATACACTAATTGAACACTCACCTGCTAAGCTACCAAGTGTAAGTTTCCGGCGACCCATTCTTTCAACGAGCCAGACTCCCACGAGAGTAAAAATGAAGTTTATAAATGCTGTGAGTGCAGCCAGCCAGATTGCGAGCCTGTCGTCTGCAACTCCTGACATCTGCAAAATGGTAGCACTGTAGTACCTGCGAGTGGGAGAGACAAACACAAACACCGCTGACTTCAGTTTGGCTCATGTTAGAGTTTCTGATTTTAAATCGAAAAAGATCATAATAAATAGCAAATGTGACCTCCTGCATAATGCAGCCACAGCCTGACACCCAATTACCCCGGGAAATCAGGCATAACCACGGCATAACTTGCGCTTGACTAAAGTTTTGCCTGGAAGACACCAAAAGACGAATTGCCGTTCCCTCGGCTGTTTCCATTTTCAATGGTCAATCATATTCTGCTAGAAATGGGGCTTGCATATTTAATTTAAATAAATCCGGCTTTCAAATCCAGCTGTTGCTTTGTGCTCTATCTTTTTTTTTTTTCTGCCAAAACATGCAGGATTTTAGCATTCTGTGTACTGTCTAGGGAAGGATAGCTCAAAATCAAATACGTTTTCACTCCGCTAAAGGTCATACAGAACTGATTTATGGCATCCAACATGTTGCAAGTGACACTTGCAACCTCCTGGTTTTAGGTTTTGCAGTTTTATTTCACTGCCACTGAAGTGCCCAAAACCTTCTCTATCGTATTACTTTGGCCTTAACCAGCGTCCAGTGCTTTGTGAATGCCTTGGCACCATGTTGCAGGGATGTGAATCCCTGCAGGAGCATCTGACAGAAGTTTCCACTTCTCTCTAAAACGAATCAACCATTCCACACAAACAGTAACTCATAAATAAATCAACTGAGCAAAATGAAAAGGGGGAAAAAAAAAAGGACGCCGTCTCCCATTTTTCAAATGAACACAGATATTGTGCCAATGTTCTCACGGAGAGCTAAATAAATCTTCAAGAAAACACATGAGTAGTTTTGCTCATGTTGCAGAAGCACTTTTCATCTTGTTCTTTTAATTTGTGCTGACTGAAATACTGAATATTCAAGCCCTCAAACACTTAGCAGCCTATAGGCTTTCACACGGTAATAACCATCAAAAATGTTAAAGCTCACTTTTTGGTTTTCCTGGTCAAAATGCAGATTGCTTTAAATGTCTCCCTGTTGTCTTCATGCCCAGATGTGTTATCCTCAGAAATTTCTGTGGTCCACTTTTTTGTATTTCTACTCTCCCTTCCTCAATTCCTCTTTCTCACCAGTACAGCCATCGTGGTTCAGCAGAAGACCTCCAGAGTGAAACTGTTGGTCCTGAGGACCCAGTATCTGCATACACATGGGTTCTGAGCCTGGCTCTGTGCTCTGCCCCCATTAGGGACTGCAACACCTCCTCCAAGCTCGTTTTGTCTGAAAGAGCTGCACACTCTGAGACCACAGCAGGGGTGATGAAGATTTGCTAAGCATAGACATCATCTGAATTAAAACACTAATGTTAATATGCCCTCCTTAAGGCTCTCTTAAATTAAATTGTTAACTGCTTGTCAAAGCTTTTATTGCACTGCACTGTTCCAGTCACCAAAACCATTCAGTCTCTGATCTCCCAATACCAACTTTCTTCTTAAGGGTAGGAAAATAACAATAAATGTCAAGCCTTGCCCTGCTGACACCCGCTGAAACTCCTATTTACTTCCAACAGACGAGGCTTCAGGACACCACGTTTAACTCCACACATCTAAATCTTCTCAAAATCCAATTCTACTGGGAAGTCAGAAATTGCCAGTTGTCAGCAGCAATGTTCAACGTACTCATTCTATACGGTTGAAAAAGCAAAGAATAAAGAATCACACAAAAGCACATAGATCTCTACTGGCTGATATATACAAATAGGCACCTTCTGCCCGACATTCCTTCTGGTCGCTTGTTGTACCCTCTGATAATATATTCTCAACCAGCAGCTTACTATTTATCCATAAATAAATAACATATTTCATTTCTATAGAAAACAAACCAGGGGAAGTTAAATTCTGCAAATCCAAATGCCAAGCTACCACAGCCTGGGTGCTGGGCAACGACATTCATGTTCATTATGGCATAGCAATCTGATTTCAAAAATTTAAAAGAAGAACGCTTGCATAGATTATGATAACTACTAAATAAATATGCTTATGTTCACCTATTTTAGTATGTCCATTTCTTATACCAACCTGTGCAGCCCTAACTGCCTATTAATCTAACAAGATGACAGCTCTTTATAATTTCTTCCTGACAAGGAAAAAACCTATGTGGCAGAAAAAGGTCAGGTTGTGATATTATACAACCACAGAGAATACTGCAGGTCCTGCAGGGAATGCAATTTCTTTGACAAAGTTGTGCAGTCCCAGCTTATTTTATAAAATGTAAAGAAAATGACAAAACCATATGTGTGTCCTTGGAATTTTTAAGCAGGCACTTCATCTTAAAAAGCAAATAAAGACAAAGCCACACAAAGTAACGGAGTCAGATATACACAGAAATATTTAAATATTGATCACTTCTGACGATGTCAAAATTATGAAGTTGTTCTATCAGGAGTTGCTGTATGTTAAATAAATCCTTAAACATTTCCACATTTAAGAATCCTTAGCCTAATCCTTTGACTGTACACTGAAAAAGTGCAGTATTGGAGGAACTGAAGCACCCCCAAACACTTTCCTTCCCCCTCTCCTTTAAAGAGTCCGCATTTTTTTTTAAACAAACCACATTCAATGTTTAAAAGAAAAGGAGAATTTCCCCCCTTCAAGCAGGCTTTCCAGACAATTCCAGCTGCATCAGGTTTCCTAGGTTAGCTCACTCAGCAGCAGAGAAACAGCCATCGTGCTTTGTAGCTCTCAATGGAAAAAAAAAAAGCCTGTGGATAAGGTGCCATCACAGCTTTAACTGCCCCATCTTTCATGAGGGGCTGCTCCAGCCCATCTGTTTTGTAAAGTCTACTCCAACGAAGTTTCTATCTAATGATGTCAGCCCTTGGGGACAGTATTTGTAATTCTGGTATAATTAATGAATAAACCTAAGTAACTCAGAAGTACCTCTCAACATCTTGAAAATACTTACATTTTTGCTTTTAAGATAACAAAGCCAGAGTATGCTGGCATTGCTTTGCAAGGGTTTGTTAACATTGCCTAGCACAATACTTCAGAAATCACTGTCTAACCCCTCAAACTTCTCAGTCTAAAAAAATTAGACCCTAGAGATAACAAAACTCTCTATCTTTTTTTTCTCAACTCAACTGAAATAACACAGAGTGAAATGGCAAGTAGTGCAATAGCCAAGAAGCAAATGATTAAATACTGAAGGATATCCAAAATGGTGGGAATTTTGAGATTTACAAGCTCTTTTTCTGCAACTGTGCATGAAAAAAGATCCTCTCCTCCTGCTCAATCAGATTATTCTACGTTACAATTATCGGGCTAAGATACACAAAAGTATTCATAAGGAAATACGTTTCATTTATACCTTCAACCTGTTTCTCTGCTCCTTTAGGAATTACTAAAGCTTATTCCCCCCACTTTTGATGATTTCCAACCTGGGAACTGCAGTGGACATGCTGGCTGGGCCAGCTGCATAGCGTTACCCAGCCAAGGTACCCGGAGCACTGCAGTGTCCCCAGGCCCCAGCAGCAGGGCTGCCACCACCTCCTCCCACCAATCCCCCCGACTGGAGTGACCCGTGCTGACAAGCACGACAAAGCTCAGTTATTTAAAAAACAGCAATATGTTACGGCATATATACACGTGGAATAGGGAGCCCTGCCCCCCAGCTGACTTTCAAAGTGGGGCAAGGTTCAGATGAGAAGAAGCAGGTCCCTATTTCCAGGCATGGACACTTGTAGGCTGGTCATGGTGCCACCTGTCAAGCCCGGCGGCTGCATCAGTATGGGACTGTGCCAACACCAACCAGGAAGCTGGACCATTTAAACAGACACCATCTTGTAATACACAGCTGAGGATGATTCAAATTTCATATTTATTGGAACAGAAATGTACCACCCAACTTACTAGTCTTCTAATTTGCTTCATGTTTCCCTCATTTTGTAAACTATCACACAATCCTGTAAGTACAGCTGTAGTTTTCTCCAAGATAGCTCATGGTTCTGGCACACGCTTTGAACATATATATTATGATGATAAGAAAAAACAGATTAAGCCATCCTTAACATCTCATAGAGTGGTAGATTGGTTTGGGTTGGACAGGATTTTAAAGAGCACCTAGTTCCAACCCCCTGCCATGGGCAGGGACACCTCCCACTACACCAGGTAACCAAAGCCCCATCCAGCCTGGCCTTGAACACTTCCAGGGATGGGGCACCCACAGCTTCTCTGGGCAACCTGTGCCAGTGTCTCACCACTCTCAGAGGAAAGAATTTCTTCCTGATATCTAAATCTAACCTCTTCCAGTTTAAAACCATTACTCCTTTGGGTAGCGGTTGGTTCATCTTTGGATGATAAAAGATCACAGTGGTTTTACATGTTGCTAACCTAAATAGCAACAGCTGAACAAAGAGCAATGCCATGGCATGGAATACAGAACCTCCGCTGCAGTACGACACTGGGCAGCGCTGGTTTAGCTTGCCACGTCCCACTCGCTGCAGATGGGAGAGCTGGGGAAAGATCCCAGGTTCCTACATGCAGGTCCTGAATAATTTTGCCTGCTGGAAGGCCTGATGGGAATTTGCACATGATGTACTTTTGCTGAGAACAGAAAATGAATTTTTATAGCAGTACTACCATTATTAACTGCTTTTAATCCTGCAAATGTACATGTTTTCCTCTTTAGTCTTTTGTTTGCACCTTAAACACAACAATCATATCGTGTCTGAAGATTCAGAGGTGCTCAAGGAGCAACAAGCATGAGCCAGGAAACTCCCACTGGAAGTATTGCTGCTGGAAAAAGGCCAGGCACATCAAGAAACTGCAGTTTAGTGAAAGATGGGCTATATAAGCTTGAGAATAGCTTCAAGAGCAAAGCAGGCTTCTGGAAGGAGCAAGCTTGGATCTGCCTATCCCACCCATTTACAACTATGTTATGAAAGGGATTTCATCAAGAAAGTTTAAGCTGACACTTCCATTATCAAGGGTGTGCAGAATTACCATGGCTTCACCAATATA